CTCCATACTTGCTATAAGAGTATTAGTCATGGGAAAACTAAACCGTGCTACTGTATGCTTGCCGTGGCTTTTTCAATCTAGCCACTGTGCACATCACATAACTGAAGTGAGCCGATGCGGCTCTAATGCACAACAGATAATTGAAAAGAAGGGTCTTTTAAAGGGCCAGGCCGTGTTACAAGTGTCCATAGTGCTCAGAGTAAACAATGAAAAATAATGTGTGACAACGCTCCATTTATCATGCACCCATGAGTTTGGCTGTGTTGTGTTGCAGTGGAGGGGGGTGGAGGGGTGGGGGGGTAGCTGGGGTATGCCCACTAAACACTGCCATCATAGAAATCAAACACAACATGCCATAGATTCATGTTCTGTACGTTTGTTTGTACTCTCTCTCCCAAAATATAAGTACTTTGTATATTCGCTGAGCAACATTAAAAAAAAGAATGCTCCTTGCTGCTGATACAAACTATCTCCCCGTCAACGACCATGACACGCTGTCATGGTCGTTCAGTAATTCTAACAGGACTAATAGAGACTGTGTAGTGAAGCTCTGAAGCTGCCGCTGAGAGGAGCTGGCACACATCCAGTGTACAGCAGTGTGAAACAGGTTTGGTGGGAAAAGAACATTGAACAACATACATTGCTGATGTACAGAAATGTGCACCGTCAGGTAATTCAACAGAGAAATTCCAAAGGTCATACAACAGAAGTCAGAAAGAAACAACAGACACACTGATCTTCTTTGCCTTTGACTAGAGAAAGCTTTTTTACTGGTTTGAAATAAAATGCATTCATTTGTTGTTTGGATTTTTAAAAGAATTTAAATGAACATTGACTTTGGTGGGTTGTTATTAATTAATAGCATGTGTTTTACAAAACATTTCATAAACCTCTTTCAAAATAAAACTTTTTATTTAAAAAAAAAAATGTTTCCAGATATTTTACTTCAGTTTCAGAAGCACTTCCTCAAAGGAAAAAAAAAAATCATGTGCATCACTGAGTTAATAGTTTCATTTACAGAAGCCCTGAGCCAGTGGTTCCGAAGTGGGGGTCAAGCAACCAATAGGGGGTCGTGAGATGCCATCCAAAAAAAATAAGATTTAAAATACTTTAAAATGGTCGTAAAATTGTTGTAAAAATATCTGAAAAAAGTTTGCACATGGCAGCAGCAACGTATGTGTCTGCTGATCTTTTTACACACACACTTATTTTGGGGGTTGCGAGCAGATTAGTTTGTGAACGCCTGCCCTAAGCGGACATACCGTACATCCATACATCTTATTTTACTCCGTTCCCCCATGACAATAAGTAAACGCTGGGTGTATTCTTGAGATCTCAACCTATTTATTGTGTCTTCTTAGGACAGTGGTGTCCAAACTTTTTTTCTTGAGGGCCAAAATTGTCGTGTTAGAATCGCTCGCGGGCCACAGGTTTTGTTTTTTAAAATATAGTTGAAAAAATAGTAAGGCTTTGTAGATCAGAATCAAAAGGCTCGCTAAAGAAGCCCTTTAATAAAAGGAAATCAAATATTTTGATTTCTTCGTTCTACTTTATTTGTTTTTTTTTTCTCAGAATCAGGCCTGTAACGTGGTTCATTTGTTTGGAAAAGCTTTCTGCATTTAGCTCAGGTCATTAAATGTTTAAACAACAGTCCGCTTGTTTGCAAAAACAAAGTTTACAAAAAAATGTGAAAAATAGTAAAAGCTGTAGATTTAAAAAAACAACAACATATGTAACTGAACATTCTCTATTTTAGGAATATTGTTCAGCCCTTGTTAACATGAAAAAGAAAAATAAGATAATGTGCCAAACTTAATCAAGGCATCGGGCCAAAATCTTCTGATTCTTCATTTGAAGTCACGGGCTGCAAAAAATCCCCTCATGGGCGGCAAATGGCCCTTGGGCCGCACTTTGGACCCCCCTGTCTTAGGATAACAACGATGGTTTCCCCGTGATAATGAGTTAATTTCTCAAGATCTCTGGAAAATGTGTTAAATCAACTCATAATCATGCTGCACGGTGGAGCAGTGGTTAGCGCTGTAGCCTCACAGCGAGGAGGTTCCTGGTTCGAATTCTCATGGGACAGGGCCTCTCTGTGTTCTCCCTTTGCATGCGTTGGTTCTCTCCGGGTACTCCGGCTTCCTCCCACAGTCCAAAGACATGCTCGTTAGATTAATTGGTGACTCTAAATTGCCCGTAGGAGTGAATGTGAGTGTGGCTGTCTACAGTATTTGTGTCAGCCCTGTGATTGACCAGGGTGTACTCATGGGCATTTGCTCTAGACCCCCCCCGCGACCCCAAACGGGAAAAAGCAGTATAGATAATGGATGGATGGAAGTCATGATCATGTCAAATCTGGTGTTTTTATCCTGAGAAATTAGGACAAATAAGTTGAGATCACAAGAAAATAACCCAAATTTACTTTATTTCTTTTAATCACGGAAAGCAGAGAAAAATAAAATGTATGTAGGCCTATGAATGTCCTCTTAGGGCTTCCGCAGATATAATCTATCCGCTGCATAGAGGTTACTTTTTCTTTTCTATAGCCTATACCAGGGATGGGCAACTTTGGGGACAGCAAGGGCCACATTCATTTAATTCTCACTGCCAGAGGGCCAAATTAAACGATTGCAGTCAATCATATCTCAAATTAACTCAACATATACCAGTGATCAAATATTACTATGGACATATTTCTGGTTTTCACGACTTCATGGCAGATTTCGTCATGTTTTTCTTCATGTTTCCAATTAACTGATGTGTAAAAAAATGAACCTGAGGGCCACGTTGAGGGTTGATGGGGGCCGCATGTGGCCCCCGGGTCGCCAGTTGCCAACCCCTGGCCTATACAATGAATCCTTAACTGAAAAGAATAAAAAAAAGTAAGTTTGCATATCGTCAGTGAACATGAATGATAGTTTATTAACTAAGAGAAACTCAGCTTGGTGTAAGCCGAATTAAAAAGCAGCAGCTGCTGGTTCTGGGCATGGAGGGTAACTGTCCCGGTGTAGTCCCGGTGTGACACTGACCTGTGCTGGGTGTTGATACGCAAAACGCCGGTGAGCCTCGGCAGGGGACGGGGGAGGTCCAGCTGGTCCCCGGACCAGGAAACATGGCAGTTGCAGAAATATTTCAAATAGTTGTAAATCCCAGAAGCCACGGCCACTCCCGAGCTGCCAGTCGCGAATATCTTATTGTTTCTAGTGGACCTAAGCTCACACACATCCAGGCTGTCATTGGAAAGGCTCCTGTTGACTAACACTATGAACTCCGTGGATCTGTTCCCGAGAAGACGCTTCAGCAGCTCCACCACTGCTCTCCCCTGAACCTTGTTGCTGGCTTTCGGTTTTATGTGGTCCAGAGAAGGAAACTTACAGTAGGCGGCCACGACTAGACACAGCACGACGAGCAGAACCGGGCTACTTCTGGGTGACATTTTCAATCCCGAGTCAAACGGGGGGCCAGTTTCCCACCGGAGCGCAGGTTTAAAAACAACTTAAATTGTCCATTTGCAGACAACCAGGAAGCGGGGGTTCACACAAGGGCTGCGGTCCAATCAGAGCCCGAGAGCGGCTGTCTCGAGCAGAAGTCACAGCCAATCAGACGATGCACTTTCTATAAAACCTATTCTTTACGTCATGTGATTATTCTGTCACATGCTGGTAAGGTTACAGAAGCAGTTTGAGTTCAGACATGAGAAAGGTTGTTGTAATAAAACACTTTAACATCAGTGCACCACTGTGGAAATGATTCACTGATTTGCTTGTAAACCTACAGACCTTGTTATGTTCCAGTGACTCACAGATAACACAAACCTTGTTTACAGTAATATTCAACCAAGGTACAACAAACAAAACATGTTTACTGTAGAGGCTGCTATCTACTCATTGCCAAAAGCACCCAAATCTGATATGGTCAAAAGTTCCAAAGTTGCTCAACAGTGAATTAAAGTGTTGAGTAATTCACAAAAAACACACAACAGCTCATAGCACACCGGACCACAGACTCTCTATTATTATGGACAATGCTCTTAGTCTTTTTCTGTTGGATAAAGTAAAGCAGAAATGCCCCTGAATGGGAGCTGACATATTGTGCTGGTGATGTATTTTGGAGCCAGATAATGTGCAGATTGAATATGGCTAGTGGAACCACATATTTGACGTCCCGCCCCTTCCTTTAACCAATGCACACATTTAACATACCGATAAAAAGTCCCTCAGGTTGACACTGTCCAACATATCAGATTCTTGTGCTGGTTTCAAACAGACACTCCTGTCTGTGGAAAGTTCAATGACTGTTTTGTTAGTTTTTGATATGTTTCCTCTCACCTTTCCCTAAACTCTTTGCTAATCCTGTTACTGTAGCAATGCTGCAGGAGCTGCATTTGTCTGTAAATCCTGACGTAACATCCGCTATATTTTTTGGGGTCAAACAACGAATTCAAACAAAGACACTCCAAAAAAATAGATTAACATGAAACTGAAAGGTAATCTGTAGAATTCTTACACTAAAATATCTAGATTCATTTAAAATTGACTAAACCTGTTATATATTTTTGTTTGTTTCTTACTTACATCACCTCAAATATTTCCAACAGTTATCAAAGCCAGAGACATCCTGAATGTTATAAATGTAACAAGACGTTTCATGACATTAACATTCACATGATATCTTCATTATGACCTTGCTCCACTTAAGATTAAATCAGTCTGATTTATTTAATTACATTTTTCATTAAATCAGGATTTTGCCTACGAGGCCGGATCTTGCTCTTATAGATGTGAGCTTTCAGGACAGAAACACACACACACACACACACACACACACACACACACACACACACACACACACACACACACCTTTAATCAACAGTCAAATTGAGTCATGAAGAATAAACATTGATGCAATGGGCCAGAACGTCCTCCACCTCCCTTAAAATCTCCATAAATAAAATAAAAAGACGATCAGGGGACAATCATTCCAGGTTCAGGTTTGAAGAAACTGTCCGACATCCCGGCCCAGAAAACATGAAACAGTTACTGATCTTACTGGCTGTACTCTGCGCTGGTCATGCTGAAGAAAAAGGTGAGCGATTACACACTGCAGTTATTCAGACAGACCTAGTTGATCTTAAAATGGAGTGTTTGATGGAGACGTCAACAAAGCTCTTCATCTCTTTAGTGTAATCTTTCGTCTGGAGTTTGTAGTGGTTGTCAGTTGGATAACATTCATTAGAAATCTATTTTTAATCTTTTCTGCAACCCCATAAAATATCGTAATTATAGCAAAAATGTGTCACGTTAAAAGACAATTTAGCCTTTGCCTTAAATTATTTACGGTATGGGTAAAGTGTGCTTTTAATTCTTTTATTAGCTGAATTTTTCTTTAAATTCTCAAAATTTTTTGAATATTACCAGCTTGACATTGTTGTGATACCAGAATTTTAAACTTCTGTAAAAATCAAATATTGATACCTGTGTTCGATGCCATGGCAACAAAAACAGGCCTTACAAGTTGGGACCAAAAACTGCATTCAATGTCCTGCAACCGATTTAAATTACACAATCACATTCGCTAAGTTAAGGGTTAGGGTAGTAGTTTTGCAATCCAGACAGTGCTCTCTCTCTTTCAATCAGTGTGGCTCATGGATATAAATATGACTGAAGATCTGAGTTGTTTTTTTTAAAGTTCTGTATTGTATCTTGTTATATTAAAGTTATATAAAAAGTATCAGAAATGTTGATAACCTTAATTGTCCCACTACCATCAGTCCTAAACACGTGTCATCTCTTGCTCATTTGCAGATCTTTCAGGGAAGGTTTTTACTTTCCCAGTTCAAAGTGCAACTTCTTCTGTTCAGCTCATTGCCAACGTTGAGCAGCCCCTCACCGTTTTGACCATGTGCATGAGGTTTTTCTCGTCACTTACCCGAGCTCAGTCGCTGTTCTCACTGGACATCCCGTCTCAATCTAACGCCTTCCTGCTCTTCAAGCTGTCTGTGGGTGTGTACAGACTGCACGTCAATGGGGCTACACTCAAAATAAGTGGACTGCCCGATGACATCAATGAATGGAACTCTGTCTGCTGGACGTGGGACTCCACCAGTGGCTTGACAGCTCTGTGGGTCAACGAAAAGCGCAGTCCTCGGGCAATCATGGGTGCCAAAGTATCTCTCACAGGGGTTCCCAGCATCATTTTGGGTCAAGATCAAGATACTTATGGTGGAGGCTTTGACCAGAGTCAGTCCTTTGTTGGGGAAATTTCAGACGTCCACATGTGGGACAAAGTCATCTCTCCGTGTGAAATTAGGTTTTATATGGATGGTAGCGGCTTCACCCCCGGCAACCTTCTCAACTGGAAGAACCTAAGGTTCTCCACCACGGGCACTGTGTACGAGGAACAAAGCGACTTCAATAAGCTGTCATGTTTTTAGCTTATTTAACTGGCAACTAGAATGCAAAGCTAAACCAAATAAGTGGAATCGAAGCTTAGTCCAAGGGCAACTGGTGGACGGAGCTAGAGATCCGCAGAGGCTTACATTTCTATCTCTGTCCACCAGTTAGTTTAGTACTGAAGAAGCCTTTTGGAGGAGAGGTGAAACATGCTCAAGATCTTCAACTTAGTCCAGTTGCCTTTGGATTAAGCTTCGATTTACCATGACGACCTGGATAAATGAGAACCAACATAGACAAACAAGTGACGACCGCCTGTTTTAAATCTTTCATGTCTCTAATTCAGCCTTGAACACATTGTTTACAAAATAAAAGTCTTCCAGTAACTTGGCACAGCAATGTTTTAATTGTCTTTTTTGTTTTGTTTTTAAAACTATTGAAAAATATATTTATTCACGTCTAAATGTAAATAATGAAGAAAATAGACTGATTCACTTTTGCTCTGAACCTCTTTTCTACGGAAGCGCATTGCATTCACCAAAGAAAATGCATCTGCCAATCAGGATATTTAGCAATAAACAATAAAAGTTGATTCTGACTCGTAAATCTTTAATGTGACTTTGAGTTTTCTTGAGGTTCAATGTGTTAACTTTCATTCTGGGTGAGTTGTGTTTTCTAAGGGATTAGACATTAATTGGTGAGCCTGGTGGTAGCACAGTGTGAATCACAACAGCACTAAATTCTCTTGTATGGAAAGTACCGCCCCTTTCCTTTTTTTTTTTTTACATGCCATGGGCTCTTCATCACTAATAAGTAGAAAACATTATTTTAACTGCTCTAGTAGAGCAAGAAGCTACAAGATCGGGTCCATTGGCTGCAAATAAAGATTCAGGGCAAGAGCACCCAATTAAAAGTACATCCACTAAAAAGTACAACATTTTTTCCCTGAAAGGGTCAGATTTTTATTCCAAGTATCTCCCAATATTACAGAGGGGATGCCTACTAAGATTTGATTTGATGGCTCCTTTCAGAGCCATCAAACTTTATTTAAAAAAAACCCAGTGATTTTACCACATAAACAAATAAGTCTGAGCTCAACCGCTGGCTTGATCTCAGATTGGTTAGTGGTTAGTATGCACTTCCCATGTACAGAGGCTCCAGGCAGGCGGCCCAGTCTGGAGTCTGACTTGCAGCTACTTGTATGTAATTTCCCCACTCTCTGTCTCCCCGATTTCTGACTCTATCCACTGTCCTAATCTCTTAACTAAAGGCATACAAACACATAATAATCAAGAAGAGAGATGCAGTGGTAAATGAGCGATTCTGATGTTCTACAAAGTTAAATTGTTGGTTTTTGTTAATGCAGTCTGGAGGTTGTACAGGCAAGGAGCACTTTCTCTGAAGGGATCCTTTCTGGAATGTTGAAAGACACTTAGAATAATCAATCAATCTTTTTTTGCACAGCCCTAATTCATCGCAATTATTATCGCAAGACACTTTACAAAAGAGCAGGTAAAAGACCTTACTCTTTGCTATATTATTTACAAAGACCCAACATGACTCCACCATGAGCACAGCACTAAGCAACATTTAGCAAAGTTACAGCGGCAGGAATAACTGTCTTTAGTCAGGCAGAAACCTCGAGCAGGACCAGACTCATGATGAAAACACGTCTGCTGAGACTGTGATGGGCTTAGAAAGAGGAACAGAGCAACAACAACAATGAACAAAAATGATTCATAGCTACAATGCTAATACTATTGTGAGACTGTCAGTGGTTAAAACAAGCACAATTCTATTGAATTTTTCAAACAATATAACAGTTAAAAGACACAACCAAAAGGACTAAAATCAACCGCGACAAAAAAACAAACCAAAACAGACAATCAAATTAAAACCATAGAAGGCAAATAAAATAGGACATAAAAAACCACATTTCCTCATCATGCTCACTTCAAGGTTTTATTAATCTGCCAGAGTCCATTCAATTTAAATCTCAGCCTGAATGGGAATGTCCAGTGCTCGTATTCAGTCCAGAGGGCTTCCAATTCAGGTAAGAGAATCCTTTTGACAATAAATCAAGACTCTCTGCAGGGAGGTAGCCATGAGTGGTTGCCAAG